ACACACACACACACACACACACACACACACACACACACACACACACACACACACAGGGCAACTTACAAGACCTTCTGTATAAATTAAATGCAGTCCTTTATTCACTGAACTACTACGTAGCTGTACCACAGTCTGAAACAAGTCACCATGAAACAGTTTCAGAACTGTTGTTTCATTAGGATCAGTGAGGTCAGATGTCATCTACTGATCTATGTATCTATGCTGGTGGTGGTCAGAGGGTCCACTGATAGCCCCCGCTCTGTCAGTGTGCCCCCGGGCAGCTGTGGCTACAATGTAGCTTACCATCATCAGTGTATGAATGTGTGAATGGATGAATGTGTGAATGGATGAATGTGTGAATGGATGAATGTGTGAATGGATGAATGTGTGAATGGATGAATGAGTGTATTGTAAAGTGCTTTGGGGTCCATAGACTTGATGAAGAGCTATGTGTACACATTCAGGTGTTTTACCAAGTACAGGAGTAAAAAGCTAGCACTCAGACTGAACAATACAGGGTGTATCAGAAAAAATGATWCTCYCAGAAAAATCACCATAAAATTAACAAAGATAATAATTTTGAAARTGTGGGCGTAACCTTTGGTAGAGGGGATCATTCTGCTTCCAATGACACCAAAATCTTAGTTAACGCTTCACAGGGACAGATGGAAATTCACTAAATCCATGTCCTTTGTGCAAGGAGTTAAAWTATGATCCGTCACATAAAATTAAAAGTTTAGATGGTGTTTTACACACACGCCAAGGCATTTTTAAAATAAATAACCCTTTCATGTCCTAACGTCAAAACAAAAATATCTCATTTTTGAGTGGATCATAACCCAGAGTTAAACACAYGTGAAGTGGCCGTGGACTGGTTAATCCAGCCTCATAAATATGGTTGACCAGGACACAAACATGGTCCACATCAGTCAGCAGCTAACATTCATGTGTCTATTTCACCTCCTCCATGAACGTTGAGAAGAATAAAAGCTAAGAACCTAAAACACTACGGTTTTATTATCAGCAGGAGAACCTACCACACTTCATCATGCCCACTTCATAGCATTTACGCAGTCTGCAGGCCTGGCAGCTTTTCCTTCGGTTCTTGTCTATTGTGCATTGATTTGTGGCAGGGCAAATGTAGTCATTGTGGCCTGATAAGAGAAAAAACAACAGTTTGTGTTTCTGAATGATGGAGAGAGAGAGAGAGAGGGGGAGACTTTCTGATAGGATTAATACCTTGAATACTCCGTTTGAAGAAAGCCTTGCAGCCCTCACATGACCACACACCATAGTGGTACCCAGAGGCGTAGTCGTGACAAACATCACAGAAGTGCATGTCTGCTTTCCCTGCAGCCGACGAGCACAAGGAGGACTTCACTCCTTCCTCAGCTTTCTTTCCTAGCAGCTTGCTGCAGCTGATGATGGAGCTGAAAGAAAGAAAGAAAGAAAGAAAGAAAGAAATTTCAATTATTTGAAGTGAAAAAATGCTAATTGCATTAGCGTTTAGCGCTCTGCTCCTATGATGATGATTGGTGTTTTTTTAACTCATGAGGCCTGCACTGGCACCATGTTGGTGAGTCCTGATCTGAACCCAGGTGGGTGTACCTGAGCTCTACTTACCTGGAGCCTGTGTTTAAACTGACCAGTCTGTTTTCCTTTCAGTCTGATACTATTACAGTCCAGTCATTCAGCCTTTCACAAAGTACATTCTCATGTCATTCCACCATATCTGGTTGCTTAACTGTTGTTTTGACAGTGATTGTTCATTAATAATAATAATAATAATAATAATAATAATACATTTTATTTGAAGGCACCTTTCATGGCAGTCAAGGACACCATTAGGGATCTGAGACCAGTTTTTGCTTGTCTTGGTGTCAGTACTGCATTATTTGAACCCTGGATGAATGTCTCTGATCCTACCTGTTGGGGTTGATGCTGTGAACTTTAGGGTTGAGCCAGGCTGGATGTGGTCCTGGTTCGCTGTAGACCAGAGGCTGGGTGCAGTGCAGAGTCAGAGGCGGTACGTTGTGGTGGCTGTGGGAGGACCAAAAGGCTGAGGGACTTAGAGGGGGACAGAGGGATGTTGGACTGTCTGTGATAGGGGGTCTGGTGTAGCTCAGCACAGATGGACTATAGAAAGTCAAGGGTCCATGTCCATGGTTGTAGTCATGGCTACTGTCTGTGTATGGAGAGGGAATGCAGACGGTGTGGCTGTCCATGCCCAGAGGAGGGCTATACATGGTGGGCAGAAGTCCAGGAGAGGACGGCTTCTCCAAAGCTTTACTGGAGTCGGCCTCCTGGAGCTGCAGCATGGGTAACGGGTCAGCATTCAGCCCAGGAGACGATGCCATGTTGTGTGAGAAACCAGGTCTGAGCAGAGGAACAGGATGATAAAGCTCTTTGCTCTATAGCATATTCTTCTGTWCACAAATCCTGTAACAAACAATAAAAAACTTGGTTAAATGGGACAGAAGGAAAACACTTCCAGACAAGAATAATTGGTGTCAAGGTCAATTGTTTGTTTAATTAGTAGCTCAAACCCTGCTGGTACAAATCTAATGTTTTGTTTTGAGTAAATGTGAACGTTGATATGATGATATGAGAACAGTGTACTATGACTTTTGGTTGTGGTTTGTTGCACAACATGGGAAGAATTATTAAAACTAGAGTATTTAGTTGATCTGAGTGTTAAACCCAGTCCTGTTTGGATCTACGGCTCAAACGGCACAATGATCAATCAAAGCTTGAGTCACAAGAAGCTGGGCTTTACAAGACTGAACTGCTGTTTCCCATCTTTAACACTTATTACACAACCACAGGTTAGGTTGGAGGATTTTACAGGTTTTTTCATGGAACATTCAACTGACAGTTGATGTCACAACTATTTCTTAAAACYAATATTTTTGCAAAGAAATATTGTTAATCCCACAACTTGTTTATACAAATTATCCATCCAAACAGGTCATTTTCTCTCTTAAATCCCTCAGAGTTCAGAGGTCACAGCAAACAGACTGAGTTCAGATCTCTGAGATCAGAAATCCATCTTCCAAACCAAGACTGTCTGCTGGTCAGAGTGAGACAAGGTGTGGTTACCAGTTTGTGTATTAAATAAGTTCAATTCACAAATACTTTATTTAAACACTTTACTGTATATACTCTGCCCTATAAAATATTTATTACACTGCACAATATGCACATTGCTGGAAATGACTTGACTGCACACCCCTTGGATTATGAGTCTGTCATGACTGTTTTTCTTTGTAATTTTCCTGCACAGTATCTTCTATTATTATTACTACTATTACTATTGTTGTATAGCAATATATTATTGTGAACTGAAGTATCTGCTGCTGTTACACCTGAATTTCCCCTGTGTGGGACAATAAAGGCAGTTTCTATTCTATTAATCCCAAAGGGAAATGAAATGTTGCAGTAAATCTTGTTATCCTGGTTTCTTTAAAGAGTTGTTACAGATGCTGATGGCTGTGGGCAGGTGGTCCATCGTGCAGCAGAGCTGAAGAAGCCTCTCTGTTGTAGCATAACAGTCTGATGAAGAGGWTGCTCAGGGTTTTTCATAAAGATCTTCATTTCATGAAGAATGCTTCTGTGTACAATCATCTCCAAAGGTTCTAGAGGAGGCCCAGGAACTGAGCCAGCCTTCTGTGTTAACTTGTTCAAGTCACTGGCTGTGCTGCTGCTGCTCCCCTACCAGATGATGGCAGAGGAGACAGCACTCCTCACAGCAGACTGATAGAAGCTCTGCAGCATCTTCCTGCAAACACTCCTTTAGACGCACAGCCTGCTTGGTCCTTTCTAGAAGACTCCAGCATCTCCAGTCCAGTCTGTCGTCAAAATGAACACTGAGGTATTTATACTCCTCCACCGCCTCCTCTTCTTTTCCCATTGTAGAAATGATGGACCTGTTCCTTCGGCGACTTAGTTGTGACTATTTTTGAGTTAGCTAATCCTGATCAGCATGGCAGCCATCTTGAATCATGTTGAGTCTTAAAGTTCATCAWTTGTAGAAGTTTATCCAATGATTCATTTCTGAGTTTTGTGCTGACAGATAGACAATCAGAAAGACACCCACAAAAACAAATACATGATTRTCTGCCTTTCATAAAGTAAAACAATAATAAATGTTTTGAACAGCAACCATTTTGTCTCATGTTTTATAGTTGGACAAAGTTGTTGATGTAAATAAATAGTTTTGATCATAGTAATTAAGTTAAGAAATCATGGCTGTAAAATCATAAATTGAGTGTTGTAAAAATGTGGAGATGAATTCCCGAGACGTTCCCACAGACTTTAGTACCTGCACGTTTGACTGAGCACGCTCCAACTTTAATGAGACAGGTGAAGTGGCACAACAGCTTCCTGATGAGGTCAAAGGTTACGAGCAAAATAACTTTTTAACTGTTCGTTTACCATCACATGTTCCAAAGAGAATATAAGAACGGAAAAATAACTCACAGAACACTGAAGCCTGATTATTCCAACACAACTGAACACTGGTTAATAAGTATCAGAACCAACACCAACCAGCTGGTTCTGGAGCTCTGAACCTTCTCAACCAGGAAGGAGGCAAAACCAGAATCCACATCAGCTTTTCCCRTATATCAAACACCGGGGTTATGGGCTCGACACGAGAGGCAACRTCGCTCACTCTCCATTCATTTCCTGTGGAACTTGTGTTGAGGCGACAATCGCTCGCCATCCTCCAGCCTAGTGACCAGCGAAAATAGTGCATGTGAAATTTCATGCTCGTACACGTGCACACGCGAGCTTGCGACGCGACATATGAAAGTTGAAAAATGTTCAACTTTTGTCGCTGTCGCGTAGCGTACATCCAATCACTGATCACTGAGGGTTTCATTGACTGACCAATGAGAGGAGAGGATGCTACACACTGCAGGTAGCTAACACTTTCACCAAGTGATCACTAAAAAATGCAGCTTTATGGGAATTTATTGGTGCCAGGGTGAAGTTATCTGGTGAGTTTTTCCTCATAAAATCATATCTTGGTGTGCGTTTGTTTTTCAATTTCATTAGCATCGCACGATTTGTTTAGTTTACACGTCCCTTTACACCCGCCTTTTTGTGAACCACCAATAACCTTTACAAGAGGCAGTAGAAGAACCAATCATATTTCATGAAGACAAGCGACATGAGAGCACGATTCACAATGCTGCCATCGCTATCACGTTGTCCATTCTTGTCCTGTCAGTCAGTGGACTTGTGTCCATTCTTGTTCTGTCATACAGTGGACTTGTGTCCATTCTTGTCCTGTCAGACAGTGGACTTGTGTCCATTCTT